TTCCAAAATGGATTAAGTTCATAAGTCGAGGTACTACTGTAGTGATAATAACTGCCCTGTTCCTCTCCACTTCAGTATCACAGATATACAGCATAATAGAAACATCACACTGAAACTTTTATAGTATGTAAATTAAGAATGCCAAATCTTTTCATCATCCAGAGACGTTCCAGAAACCCAAACTTTATCTAAAATGAACTAGCCACTAAGCGAATCAACAATACAGGTTGGAGATTAGTTCTGCCTACCAAAGCGCCGCTCCAGATGGGAGACGCAATGCGAACACTCCATCCGACAAACCAAGGCTTATAGGAAAAAACAGGAAAGAAGGCAATTATTCCAGAGATGAGACTTAAAACCCCAAAGGAAATAAGTATTCTTCCAGTGATTGCGAACAGGTTCATTTTGAGTCTCTCCTCATCTCTCTGTGTTTGACTTGTGCTAATGTTTTGCCGTAAAAGCCAGGGTGACACATACCATGACACACACACAGAAGCGTCTTGGAGACAGTAGTCAAGGTTCTTTCTTGTTACTTTCCTTCTCAGATGAAACACAGTTTAGCTTGGAGCACTGCTGCATCAGAGTGCAGGGCAGTGAAAAGGAGTCAATGTGAAGTTCTACCATGTTGCAAGAAGAATCACACAACCCCCTCCTCTCCTGATACCAAAAGCTCTGTGTGTGCAGGAGGAAATCTTTAAGAGCTTTCTTGAGCCCTTTCCCTCCCTTTTCCTCTGCTAGTCCTCAGCCGGATTCCTCTGGTGGCACCAAAATACAAGCCTATCCTTCCCCTTCATCAGTGGTGTAGTGGTCAATTTGGAACTGGGAATGCTCATCCTGATATTCCCCACAGCCAGCCTCTCCAAGGAGAGTTTAAAAAACATAGGCAGCTGCTTCGATCCCTACCAACAAATGAAGAACGGGTCTTTTGTAAAGCTAAAAGCTTTTAATAACTCAGTCATGAACAAACCTGCCTCAAATACCTTGCCCTACAAGAGGGCCAGCTTGCAACAACATCCTGCTCCCAGGAAAATCCATTGATTTCCCAGTCACTGTGAGGATTGCAGCTTAGCTCAGGAGAAGCAAAGAAGCCTGATGGGGAGTGGTGAATGATGTCACAGTCCTTGATGCTCAGAAACTCCCAGAGCTTCAACCCTGCAAGGCCTGGCCCTCCTACAGCACTGCCTTATACAGAGTGACTCAATGGCCAGCTCCCTCTCATATGGCCAGTCCCATCATTAGGCACAGTGAAGCAGCTGCCTTAGGTAGGAAGAGCTGGTGAACAGTACTTCCTGCATGTTCATCCTGCATCTCTTGGCCTTTGTGGTCCTGTGGGGGAGAGAGCTGCCTGGGCAACAAAAACAACAACCATAATCACCACCACCACCACCTTAGAACTGCAGAACTGAAAAGGACCCTGTGGATGTCAAGCGAAGTGCTGAACATCTGGCTCTGCATCCAGATGCCTAATCTACTGAGCTCTCCAGCAATTTCAAGCTCTGTGGGAGATTCTGTCTCACCGGTGGCATTGAAGGAAGAGATATAGTACCATCTTCTCATCCAGTCCGTTTACTTATTTAGTACCATCTTCTCATCCAGTCCGTTTACTTATTTAGTACCATCTTCTCATCCAGTCATCTCCTCTACATGGAGTGAGTGTGGGCACCATCCTGTCCTTTATCTCAGATAACAGCTTGTCTGGAGCCAGGCTTGCCGTTGACCTCCTGGTAAGTGAGTCCCACCAGGAACACTAGCAGGCACACACCATAGCTCTCCAGAAAAAAATAAGCCATCAAGCAACCCATTTGGAGGTGTACAGCAATAGGTATGCAGCGGCTTTGATATCATGCATGCATTGTCTGCAAGAGTCACACATGTTGCTTTGAGTGTGGCAAAACATGCACCATTCCAAAAGTTGCTGGGTTCGTTTTCTGGACTACAGCTCTCCAGAATCCCACCTCCAGCAAGACCCAGGGCCCATATGCTGGTTTAGGATTCTAGTAGCTATAATCCAGAAGACTAGCTTTTTTGAATCAGATTCCTCTGGGGATCGTCCTTCACCATGTGCAGCCAAAAGATGAATGGTGTTCAAGGAGTTTCATAGAAATAAACCCCTACTGCACAGAATTGGAGCAAGTTCAGAGGAGGGCAACAAGGATAATCAGGGGGCTGGAAACGAAACCTCATGAGGAAACACTGAAACAACCAGGTACAGTATGTTTAGCCTTGAGAAAAAAGGACTGAGGGACAATATGACAGCACTTTTCGAATAGCTGAAAGGCTGTCATACTGCCTGTACTTGATCATCCCAGAATGAAGGGTATATAATAATGGGTACAGGAAACCAGTTTTTAGTTGATTATCAGGAAAAAAATTCTTAACTGTTAGAGCAGTACAACAATGGAACCAATTACTTCAAGAGGTGGTGAATGCTCCAGCACTGGAGGCATTCAAGAAAAATGTAGACAATCACCTGGCAGATATCCTTTGATTTGTATTCCTGCACTGAGCAGGGGATTGGACTCGATGACCTTACAGGCCTATTTCAACTTCATTATTCTATGATTCTCTGAGAATAATTGGGGTGGAGGTGAAGCAGGTTGAGACATGTTGCTGCCGGCAACAGCAACCTCATATTCAGGAACAGATGATGATGATGATGATGATGATGATGATGATGATGATGGTGGTGGTGGTGGTGGTGGTGGTGGTGGTGGTTTACATATTTACATATTTACTTATTTATATCCCGTCAATTTAGACCAAAGTCTACTCTGGGTGGCTAACAACAATATTTTAAAATAAAATAAAACAATACCAAGGGAACTCCAAGTTTAAAGTATTAAATAAAGCTGAAACAGAATGGAACATGGTCTGTGAAAACAAGGAGAGATCACGGTGTTCTGACCCTGTGTTCAGTCCTTGGGTACAGATACCAGTAATTAAGGATTTTAGTGTAAAGCAGTGAACTTAAGACACAGCCCAGCTTAGCTTCACTGATTTATTGTTTAAATAACCCTCTTGCCCATTTTCCCAGGAGGAGTGACCACTCCCGGGTGTACACAGCGTTATTGCCTCTCTGGCTGACTCACAGCCATCATTTCCAATTAGGCTCAGCAGGGCTAGGATGAAAACCCCACATCCTTTATGTCCAAATAATCCAATAACGCTGTCAAGAACGAAAGGAAGAAAATGAAACTGCGCTCTCTGCTTGCGATCACACTCACCTGTCATTCATGGATAGAAAGGTTTTGTCAGGAGAGTCTCTAAGGAAAGGTTGCTTGCTTGAGGTTTAAGTTTATTGTCAGTTCTCTTGCTCAATAGATGAAGCTTCTCTCTTTCTGTAATCATAAAATAACAGCTACGCTTACCCGTGAAAGCAAACAGGGAACAAAAATATAAAAGAGGAAACAGGTTTGCATAGAATGTGTACATCCTCATTTAAAAGTATTCTTTCCTCTCCTAAATGTGGGCATGGAAATTATTCCATTTAAATTAGAGTAGCACTGTTGTCATCTGCAGTCATCTCATTACCGACTAATGGTGACTCTACCAATTAGTGACCTCTGAAAGATCCTGTCCTTAACAGCATTGCTCAGATCTTGCAAACTAAAGGCCACCGCTTTTTGTTGTTGTTGTTGTTCATCTATCTCATGTTAAGACTTGTTGCAGAGTTTTGCATTTTGGTTAAATTCCTCTAGCTGGGCAGCAGAAGTGTAGGGATTCACAGAGCAGAATAGTTTCAGTTCCCCCAGAATAGTTTCAATTCACCCCTTTTCTTCATCAACTGGCACTTACAGTCTCAATAACTGATTCTGAGGCATTACAATGAGAAAGAAGAAAAAACATTTTCCTTACTTACATTTCTGAACAGATCAAAAATCAGACTAACAAAACTAACTCACGTGACTGCCAGCAGCAACAGATCTCAACAGACTGACTGCTTCCAACAGACTGATTGCTTCCAAAGGACAAAAGAGAGGGAAACGTCAGTGCAGGCTCTCTTTGAATCAGAAGCGAGGAAGGAACTCTTGGTTAGTGCTGTTAGTGATTGATTGTCACCCCAGCCCACATTATAAGTGAGGGGAAAAATAAGGGTACAGTGTACTGGAGATTTTCCAGCCCACATTATAAGTGAGAGAAAAAAAAATAAGGGTACAGTGTACTGGAGATTTAAAAATACACTCAGTGTTGTCTACTCTGAGCTCCCGTCGCTTGTCCCAGCTCCTGCCAACCTAGCAGTTTGAAAGCATGTAAATGCGAGTAGATAAATAGGTACCGCCACAGTGGGAAGATAACAGTGTTCCGTGTCTAGTTGCGCTGGCCACATGGCCACGGAAACTGTCTACGGACAAATGCTGGCTCTACGGCTTGGAGGCGGGGATGAGCAAAGAGTCGGACATGACTGGACTAAATGTCATG